CGCTAGGGGTTGGCAGGGCCCCGATTGCTCGCAACCCTGCAATGAAGGATGGTACGGACTGGGCTGCAGAGAAAAATGTCCGGAGAAAATGAATGGTAAAGAAGATTAATATCCAAGATGTAAACGCATGATGTCATGTGTGTGCGTTGAGTGTGACCCGCCATAACACATTAAATTTGCATGATTTTTTGACAGATCAATTGTATTTTTGTAGATAACATAATTAATTGTCTTGTGATAGGTTTAACATCCTAAATTTATGTTGAATGTTATGTCATTCTTATAGTTATCATATATTAGAGTAATTTCTCAGTTTCATAATTCATAATATCAAATGAAAACATTCACTTGATCTCTCTCTCTGGAACATATGTATTTTTATGTAAGTTTAATCGTTTGCTGTGTATACATTGATATATCACAATGCGAAAGGAGTGAAAAAGAAGAAATTAGATCAAATTGTAAGACGAATTTTTTTCACTTATGATAACATTGTAACATTCGATGTAGAAAATACGCTTGGATGTGGGTTTTCTTTTATGTACTTTGCAATACAACTAATTTGAATTTAAAAAAAGAGTTTGACCATTGCTTGCGCAAACGCTGACGCAAACGGTAGAAATAACATTCCATTTCGATCTTTGTCATCAATCGATCTTTTATACCATTGAATGCTTTACTTTTATTGATTGTTAATATATGTATTTTACATTTAGTTAAAACAAACATGGTGGAAAGGATAATAATTTCAATGAGTATATCGTACATTGAAAAATCAAAATTTTTCCATGGAAATTCCTCTATATTGACAATAAATTTTTCAGCATCGTTGTTTCTCTCCTTAGGAAACATGACTTGCGATCACGTTACCGGTGAATATGTCTGCCGTCCGGGATATCTAGGTCTTACCTGTGAACATCCATGTCCACCCAATCGTTATGGGCTAAACTGCGCGAATCGTTGTCATTGTAAAAACGGCGGGGAATGTCATCACGTAACAGGCATGTTGAGAACTCGCGACTCTTCCTGAAACATACAATGAATACATCTATACTTAAACTTTTATCTGCAGTTCGAAGGATAATACATATATAAATATCGTATATTTTCGATCCTGTTTTTATCATTGAAATATATATTTTAATTAGGTGTATGTCAATGTCGACCTGGCTGGCAAGGTGAGTATTGTCAAATACCTTGCGCGGAGGGCACATATGGCGTAAATTGCACACAGCATTGCAAGTGTCAGAACGGCGGTAAATGCAGATCCAATGACGGACATTGTCGATGTTCACCTGGATGGACTGGAACCAGATGTACTGAAAGTAGGTTTGAAAAGCTGTGGACTGTAATGTCCAGAAAAGAATGATATACCAAACTATATTATATATTCAAAAGGGTTCTTAAATATTCTAAAAGATTTTAAGGGATAATTTTTCATATTAATTTAAACTTTATATTGAGATTGTATCCAAAACGGCTTAATTAATTTCAATTAATTTCAATTAATTTCAATTAATTTCAAAAATGCTCGCTTATCATTGAATAAAAAATAATACATGACTTCAAACATTAAATCTTCGTGTTCTTAAAACATACACAAAATTTCAAAATAATCTGAGTAAGTTTCGAAATTTTTAGGAAAAACGAAATTTTTCCTTTAACTTTAACTTGTATTTTTAAAACTAAGCTTTCAGACATATAGTCATAAAAT